TCAATATAGGAAATAAATTATAAATATACTAATTATATATTTTCTATATTGACTGCAAGCATGCAACATACAAGGCATTTCATCACTGCCAGCGTGAATCAGCGGGCAACTTTTTAGAACCCTAATCTGTTAAAGCTTGGGTCTAAAGGCTATAGCTAAGACATTCTGGTTTTTTAATTTTATTCATTAAAGAAATTACAAACATTCAGTAACCGTATAGTTTAAACAAAGGATAAAAGCTAAAAGAATAAAATAGTTATATTTTTATCAAGATATATATTTTGAAATTTGCAGAGAACTTGAAATTAAAATATATCCTGAAAAAAATAGGTTAATCCAATTATTATCTATGATATAGGAAACTTTAACGTATTATTTATATTATATACAATTTAAATTTATTAGGAGTCGGTACATTTTTACTGACTCCCACTCCAGTAACCCAAGAATTGCTTCCAACTCCGACTCCACGGCCCTGGTCAATGCCTTAATTGCAACTGATTTCATATTTGTGTTAAATTGTGGAATAAAGAAAATATTCTTGCATACCTGGGATAAAAAATACTTGGGTTTTTCCTTTGTTTTGTTTTAGTAAGTTTTCAGTGAAATTAAAGCCACAGCACAGGATGCTAGCAAAGGCTTGATTCTGGGCGGTACTTATCTTTATTGTGGATATTTGCATTTTAGGTATTTTATATAGAAAGAGATAGATCAGACTTGGCAGTCTGGAATCTTCCATATGTTCTGGATTCCAGTTCACATCATCCCCTGGCTGTGCTGGTGAGGACTGACAGAGCTGAACTCCAAACATCTGGAAAGCCTTGTTCTACAGGTTGCCACCTCATGGGGGGAAAAAAAGAATTAGAGGAGCAGGGATAAAAACATTGGAGAGGAATTGCTTTGGCAGTTTGGGCATAACAATTTAGCAACATCTGGATGGCCATGATTTCTGGGGGTCTTAACTAGCAGGGCTTTAAAAAAAAAATGGCAGCCACATCCATGCAAAGTTCTGCCCATTTTTATGGACATCAGAGAGGCAATAAAAGGGGTGGGGCTTTGATTGTATGGTCGGAGCCATCTTGACTCTTTTGACTCCCCTGGTGGATATCCCTGCGTGATTCTCTATTCAAATCAAGGATGCATCCTCAAAGAAGCTAAACATTACATTCTCTAGTCCGGTGTTTCTCAATCTTGGCAACTTTAAGATGTGTGGACTTCAACTCCCAGAACATGCTGGCTGGGAAATTCTGGGAGTTGAAGTCCACAGGTCTTAAAGTTGCCAAGATTGAGAAACACTGGTCTAATTTTATTGACCTGGTTCAAGTATCAGGCCAAACTATCATTAGCTGAGAACGAGTTGTCTGGGTTGTTCCATGATTTACAAACAGCGATGCCTGAATTCACCCAGCCAGTCCCAAACAAATCCTGTTAGGGCTTAGTTCAGCATGGACCCCAGCCAGTGTATTTGATGCCATCCCTCTTGAGAGCTCTAAAAACTAGAGATGGCCCAGTGCACGCCCAGTTAAGTCTGCATAAAATGCAAACCAATAATTAGTAGTTACTCTTTCTTGCTTTGAACCAAGTTGGAAGACTCTCTAAAGTCAGAGATACGTCTAGTCAATCTTTGTGCCAAAAGGCTGTACTTCCAGCTTCTTTCTGCATCGGGAACAAGGAAGAAGGAGAAGCGGTATCGGAGCAAGCTGGTTGACACACCCCTGGTGTATTTGCTCTGTCAGCAGTAAACCAGCCTGGGTTGTTGAAACCTGCCAGCCTGCTGGAGCGCCAGTCTGCCCTTGTTGCTCCAGGGGGTTGCGTAGAACCGATGGAGAGCATTTGGGAGTTGCTTTGGGACAGAGAGTCTCCCAAGTTATTCATTGCTGCAGCGTTTTTCCTTTGTCCCTCAATTTTTCCAGAGACAGTTAACAATAAAGATGAAACCAAGGTCATAATAAACAGCTGCCATAATGCCATAAGCAATGTGAAATGGAATGGCCACTCACTTAGTATCTCCTTCTTTGAGGAAAATTGAACAGGATGGTTTAAATAACTAAAAGCTTGATTGTGAAGCAAAAGACGTACTTTGCAGCTAAGACCGCACAGCCTGCAAACCCACAATGTGGCATGTTTGGTCTTGATTGAGTATGTTGGGTGAATCCAGCTGTTGAAGTTTGTAAACTGTGGCTTATGGCTTAATGTGATGTGTAAATCTAGTCTCTGTTGGATGCGGTCTTAAGAGGGATGGTATGGAAGTGTTTGTATTCAGTGCTTCGGTTTGTGGCTAGGGTTCAAGTGTGGTATGCAGTTTGTTCAAGAAACCACAATTTAAGAAGATACTAAACATAAACCATAGTTTACAAAGCACTGTGGCAGGATGACCTATGTCAATGTTGTCCAGACTTGGCCACTTTAAGATGAGTGGACTTCAACTCATGCATGCTGGCTGGGGAATTCTGGGAGTTGAAGTCCACTCATCTTAAAGTGGCCAAGTTTGGACAACACTGACTTATGTTCACCTTCAGGCTTGGGGGCTCACTGAGTGGCTTGGGGCCAGTCACTCTCTCTCAACCTAAACTGTCTCACAGCATCGTTGTTGTGAAGCATATTGAAGTAAATGCTGGATATGGTGCCTTCAACTCCTGGAAGCAGGGAGATAAATCGGCTCAACAAATGAAATCCAAACCACCATATGACAGCTTTGGATATCGTATGAACTGGGCCGTTGTCTCATATTCATTGTGCCGCAGTACAAAAGAGTGGGAAAGAGTGAAGCTGGTTTCATGTTTGTAGAATCACAGGGAAGAATCCAAGAGTTGGAAAGGACCTTCTCAGCCAGTCTTACTCATTATTCAGTGCAGGAATCCAGACTGAAGCACCTCCAGCAGATGACCTCTTTGGCTCAATAGTTCTGTTAATTGCTGTATCTCTGTGTAAGAAACGTGTATAAAATCTTCTTCTTTGGGTGTGATCGGGGTGCTTCTCTGCCTTAAGGGGAGACCCCAGCTGACTCTATTGGCTTGCTTTCAATAAAACTTTAAAATCTCAGCTGGTGTTTTCGTGTCTGATCTTCTGCCGGACTGAATAATCTCAGCTGGTGTTTTCGTGTCTGATCTTCTGCCGGACTGAATAATCTCAGCTGGTGTTTTCGTGTCTGATCTTCTGCCGGACTGAATCCTAATTGGGGAGAGTCAGGAACTCTTAGATTTTGCTAACAGTTCCACTGCTCTTACTGTTAGGCAGGTTTTCTGAGATTCGATTAGAACCTGTCTTCCTAATTTTACTATTCTGTGTTCTGCATCTAGAACTTTGGAGAATCAGTCTTGCCCTCCTGCATTTTCCTTTCAGATATCTGAAAATGCCATATCCTCCCTTACATTAATCCTCTTTTCTCTTTAAGGCTAAACACTCCCACTTCCTTCAGTCTGTCCTTATAGGAACTAGTTTCTAGTATCCTGATAATTATTTTATTTATTTATTTATTTATTTATTTATTTTTCAAATTTGTATGCCGCCCATCTCCCCCAATGGGTGACTCTTTATTGCCCTTCTCTGACCTTATTCCACTTTCTCTGAATCTTTCTTAAAGGGTGATGTCTAGAACTCAACACAGTACTTGAGATGGGTTCTGACTGGTGGAAAATAAATAGGAACAGTTACTTACCATGATTTGGAAACTACCCTTCTATTGATGCAGCCTTGTAATGAATTTGCTTTTTTTTATTGCAGCCACACAATGATGCTCAATTTCAGTTAGTAATCAATTACTATTCTGAGATTATTATCCCATTCTACACCTTTGCATTTGAGTTCTGTTTCCTACATGAACAACCTTGAATTTTGTCTTTAAACTACATTCTGTTATTTTCGGCCCATTTTTATAACCACTATTGTTTTGAATTTTATTTTCAACTTCTGTTGATTGATTGATTATGTGCCATCCAGTCATTGTCGACTCTTAATGACAACACAGATAGATTTTCTCCATGATGCAACTTCTAGGGTACTGGCTATTCCATCTAATTTTGCATAACCTACAAATTTGATAAAGCATTTCCTTCATTTCTTCATCCAATTAATGAAGATGTTGAAGAATATAGAGTCTAGGTAGCACTCATTTCCTCCTTCCAATTTGATCAGGAATTATTGACATGCACTCTTTGAATAGTGCTTGAGTCAGCTATATATCTAATCAGCTCACATTTGAACTAGCTTTGTTAATCAAAATATCATGGGATACTTTGTCAAATCAAGGAGTATTACATCTACAGCATCCCACAATCTACTAAGGGAGTTGTCAATAGTGTGTATTGGGTTTAGCAGTTGCAATTGATGAATCCAATATACCTTGGAATAGTCTTCATACATGAACATAGATTTGTATCTGAATTACAGATAGTCCCCAGTTTAAGAATGAGCTCCATTCCCAAGGTCTGTCCTTAAGTCGAATTTGTATGTAAGTCGGAACAATATTATTATATAATACTATATAGGTAGTGTTGTGTAATTAACTCAAACCATTGGGTATTTAACTCAAATTTTGCTACAATAGGCTCTGTTCTTAACTATGGGTCATCCTTAAACTGGGTGTTCTTAACCCAGGGACTACCTGTACTATAAATCAGGAACTGTTTCACCTTATTTGAGGGTGCATGGGTAGTGCCACTGTTTAGCACCTGACATTCATATATCTTTATGCAAATAATTACATTCTTTTTTTTTGCATCTTCTGATGTAAAGCCCCATCTATTCCTTCCTTCCAGCTAGTATGTACCTTCCCAATGGCTAAGTTCTTCCACAGAGGCCCTAGTCCCACTATTTATTTTATTTATTAAATTTATATGCCGCTCATCTCCCCCAGAGGGTGACTCTAGATGGCTCACCATTAAAATCTGAAACAGTAAAAATATAAATATCCATATTAAAATTAGCTAAAAAAATCCCTACCATCCGTAGCTTGACAAGTGATCAAGATGAATAATACATTCTCAGGATCACGGATAAAGTTTCCTTCCAAACTGGATCTGTTTCTCTTTCCAGCTTGCCCAGAAATATGACCCACAGAAGGAAGCAGAGTTACGGGTATGGATAGAAAACCTAACCGGGAGGCAGATTGGCCCTGATTTCCAGAAGGGGCTGAAAGATGGCGTCATACTTTGCGAGTAAGTAGGCCAATGAAGAGAAACTTGAACCTTGACTCACCATTCCTGTGGTTATTCTGCAACCTCTTCCAGGATGTGTTATGAAAAATTGTATTCTTTTCAAGAAGAGACAGTGAGCTCCAGAAATGGTTTTATGGAGGCAGGGAGAGTCACTGTTGGGAGTGATCCGGGATGCTTAATGGGTGTGGCATTTGGAAATGGGGATGGTGACAGGGCATAATGTTTCACATGATGCAGAATTAATTTACAGAAGTTAAGGATTTTGATTTTGTTTTCTGATGTTGCTTCATTTTTCAACTCTCTTCTGGCTTTGCTGGCTTTGTCCCATCACTGCACCAATTTGCAGATTTATTTTTAGGAAGTCCACACAAAAATTAGTACACAGGCATAGGTACATTTCTGCAAATGTGCGCATTTTTGTACTCACTTTTTCTTATATGTCCTTTTTTAATAAGTAGTTTGCCTATAATGTCATTTTTGTGCATTTTCCTGTAATGTCTGTACAGTAAAACTTTGGATTGCGAGTAACTTGTTCTGCGAGTGTTCCGCAAGACGAGCAAACATTTCTAATAAA